GTGAAAATAATCTCCTTCAATGCTTCAAATAGAAATTAAACAATAAAAAAAAAAATCTGTACTATAAATAAAAAATCGCACATCCCATGATTACCTGATGATCGTCGATCCTCGGACAATTTCGTGATGTACCTGGCTTTAAGCGACCCTCTAATTAGTCGCCAATTATGTACTCCTGCCCTTGTAAGGTTCACAACAACCCCGGTACCCACATTCTAACCATCTTTTTACCTGGATTCTCTATTGGTCCCTCTCTTACTTCCAGCTGGCAACCTGGACGGTTTGGTCTGCCCAGGCTTCAGGTGCCTGAAGGACGCCCTCCCCTTGGTCCATACTTTTGGAGCATATGCCCTTTTCCTCCGGTGCGTCTAAACCGGCGGTTCGGCTAGTGTGTCCCCACTAAAGGACCTGATCGCTCGGTTTACCAATCTCGGGCCCGGTTCAAATTCAGCCTTCATGTAGTACCGTCGAAGATCACTGCTACCTCCCAACTCAGAACTTCCCAAACGGGCTTCAATCTCCGGTCCTGTGACCCATGCTATACACAGCCCACAGATTACAGCCTTCCGAAATCACCTCAACGGTGCCACCTGACACTGTCTCGACAGATTCTCCATGGGCCAACCTTAGTGAAGATCGTCGCAGACTTTTCCCATATTACAAAAGCGCCATCTCTGGGATTTGAACATGGGATCTTCCCATAATGTTTGGTGAGAGTGACAACTAGACCACTTCACTAAGTCGCCACACCTCAAGGTTTTAAAATTTTTAAAAAATACTTTAACCAAATTTTGGTTTAAAATTTTAATAAATATTTTTTAATAAATACTTGTACAAATTTAATTGAAATTTTTTATTTTAATTTTGTAAATTTGTATAAGTGGTTACCGTAGGTTTCCGAAAATAAGCTACCTTTTTTGGCCAAAAAAATGACACAAAAATCATGGGAGTAGCTTATTTTCAGATAAAGTTTCGAAAAGGTTGATTTTTATTATTTTTTTAAAATCTGAAAGTAGTTTCTATATATAAAAGTCAAAATTCTATTAAGTAAATCGATGAAACTCACTTAATAGGAGTTGTTCAAAATGTAAAAATACACATATAATGAAAGTCTGAAGCAAATCGGAGAACTTTTTACTAAGATGTTTTTGCATTTTACGTTCAAACGTAAAATGCAAAAACATATTAGTAAAAAGTTCTCCGATTTGCTCTAAACTTTTATGATATGTGTATTTTTATATTTTGAACAACTCCTATTAAGTGAGTTTCATCGATTTACTTAATATAATTTTGATTTTTATATATTGAAACTACTTCTGGATTTTAAGAAATTATCAGGGTAGCTTATTTTCGGAATAACAAATTTTCTTATGTTTCTTTTCCAAGAAAAAAGGTGGTAGCTTATTTTTGGAGGTGGCTTATTTTTGGCAATATACGGTATTAAAAATCTTTATTTAAAAATTTAAAAATATTTTTTTTTATAATTTTAGTTTATTTTTTTTAAAAATATTTAATCCAAATTCAATAAACTTTTTATTTTTATTTTACAAAAATATTAAATCAAAATAAAAAATTTGGATAAATCTATTTGTAACAGCCTGTTATGCTGCTTATTTGTAACAGTTTGGTTTATAACTCAAAATTTTACTAAGATAATCTCTTTTGTACTACTAATAAAAATAATTCTCTTGCAATTTTGTATTAATCTTGATACTAACTCTAAACCTAACCTAATATTAACTCTAACACTAACCCTAATACTAACCCTAATGCTAACTCTACTAACCCTAATATTAACCCTAATATTAACCCTAACACTAATAGGCTGTTACAAATAGTAATTAAGCCCATTTATCCACTTATTTGAAAACCACTATTTACTGTAATATCCTGAAAAAATTTTGCTTAACCAGTTAACCTGCTAATTTTTTTGCAGATCTACAGTAAATAGTTTGATTGGCCAACTCGCATGTTGCATCGTATACAATCTGCACATATCATATAATTTTTGAATATTAACTAAATAAAAATGCCAAATGTCAGGAGATAAAGAATTTTTGAATTAAACACAATATTATCTCCATTATTCGAACAATGTTAATTCATTAAAGTTATCGTATTATCTTTATCCACATGCTGGATAATTTTTGTGTGAAATATATGATTCTATATTTATAGACGATGTGTAATTATACAAATTAGTTATATAAAGATATTAATGCCACCTATAAGTTTCCTATCTATTAAACCTATCATGTATGTATTACAAATAAGTATCGTTTTTGCAAGACGTATTGTCTTAACTAGAGATGTTATCAGCCCACTTGGCTCTATTTATCAATTGGTTTTAAACATGCAAGCCAAGTCTAGCCGATAACATTTCTAGCCTCAAAGATTATGCGTCTAAACACTTTCCTTATATTCTAGTGCTTTCTAAATAAGTTAAACAATATTTATTTAAAATTTAATGATGAATAAGGCCAGGAGAACTATGTGAAGTACAAACACATAATAAATATATAACTAATCAATAATGCAACAACGAATTTATAATAATATACTAGTATATACTTATCTATCATATTGCTTTTGAATTCATTATTTTATCTTTTGATTGTGTCTATATATGTCTCATGGTAGCCTTGCTGCTTGACAAATAATGTGTTTGCATATTGTGATTATCTTCAAATAATCCGATAATGATAATTTAAATATGTAAAGTTAACTAAGATTAAAAAAAATAAAAGCTGCAATAATTAGTATAATTATAATTATAAATTTTTTAAAATTTAATAACCCGTAAAGCAAACCAAAAAAAATGAATTCTCAAGAAAATTCTGGTTCAAATAGTGAAAGCGATAGTCAAGCTAGTAGTGATAATACACCTTTATCTACAAATCCATTAACTCGTACAAAAAAAAGAAGTCAAAGTCAATGTAAAAAAAGTTTTGTGTGGAAATATTTTGATATAGTTGGAATGAAAGATATATGTAAAGTAAAAGTTAAAAAAAATGGAATCGAAAAAAAATGTAGACAAGATTATTCTCACAATAAATCTACATCAAACATGATTGCTCACTTGCGATCACAACATAACATCATAGATCCCAAAAAATTAAAATTAGAAATTCAACAAATGAAGCAAACCACATTACCGGAATTTCTTAATACTAATATTTCACATAAAGGTGTTAGAAGAAAAGAAATCAACAAGGGTGTTATAGAATGGATATTACTCGATAATCAGCCATTATCAGCACCTATAAAAAAAGGGTTTCAGCAAATGATGTCTATAATCGATCCAAATTTCGCCCACTATCTGATTGAGTAATAAAAAATAAAATAGCATTTAGTTATTTAAAAAATATAGAAATTCTTAAACATGAAATTAATTTAACTTGTAAAAATGCTACAATTACTACTAACTAATAGACGTCACGTAGTAACCAGAGATATATTAGAGTTACATGTCATTGGATAACACCAGATTGGTTATTACGTAGTGTATTGTTATGTTGTGAGAAACTTGAATATCCACATACCTCTAAATCCATTCACCAATTTCTCTTAAAAAAATGTTCTAAGTATAATCTTGAGAATAAAGTTGTATGCATCATTACTGACAATGCTGCTAACATGATAAAGGCTATTCGATTGTGGAATAATATTACCCGAGTTCCATGTGCAGCTCATACCTTACAATTGACAGTTAATTTTGCTTTAAAAAAAGTTAACACACAAACAAAAAAAATAAAAAAACTTGTCCATTTTTTTGATATGCCAAAGCAAAGAGAAAAACTAAATAAAGCTAAAGTTAAAGTAATAGAAAGAGACGGGCTTCCTTCAACTAGCTTAGTTAATCTTGATGTGTATTCAGAAGATAATAAAGAATCTGGAGAAGTTGATAATGGAAGTGATATTGATTTAGAAGAACAATCAAATTTAAATACTATTGCAAATCCTATTTATAAAACAATTAACTTAACTAAAGATTGTCCGACGTAGTGGAACTCAAAATACCATTCCTGGAAAAGGTTACTAAAATTAAGAGATGCGATTGTATAGTTAAAGACAAACTTAAGTATTTTACGAAATTCAGATGATAGGAAAGATGGTCAAAAACTTAAAAAATACTTGCCTAATGAAGAAGAATGAAAATTAGTTGAAGAGCTGATTAAAGTTTTTGAACCCTTTGATCAAGCAACTGAAATATTTAGTGGTGAAAAATATCCAACATTATCAGTAGTATATCCTATTATCAAAGTTTTAAAGTTCGAATTTGCGGTAGATCCAAGTTTACCTTTAGCTGAAGATGATGATACTATTGAGGAATATGGTAAAAAAATTTTTTTCTGTTAATTATTGTTTGTGTTAGAATTAATATATTGAATTGGACATATTTTAAACTTATAATGAATAAAAAGAATTATGATTTCTTAAGAAAACATAGTAATTTTTTATAATGAAAATTTTTTCTAAAACCAACAATTCATTATAAAAAGAGTCAACTAAACATATAAATTTAATCAAATTACCAATTAATATTTTTTTTTTAGAATCAAATTTAGATAGCAATAGTGAAAGTGAAAAGAATAATAACTGCTTACCAGAAATCTTCAATTTTCAATCAACAATTGTAAAAGTTAAGCAAACTATTTATAATTTGCTTTGGAAGTATTGAGGCAATCCAAATTATATAGGTCTTTTGGCAACTTTATTAGACCCAAGGCTTAAAAAAATGCGTTTTTGGCCCCCTCACATCCGAGAAGAAACAATTAAGATATGTTATGAAGAACTTAATATAATCATTAGTGAAGTATCTACACAAACCTCTTGCTCTTCTGATATAACATCTTCAACCAATCGCTATTTTGCATCAATTTTTGATGACAATGACAATAATGATAATGATAGACCATTAGATGATAAACTAGACATATATTTAGACATCAATAAGGTGCCTATTGCCCCACAGATAACTCAATCTTTAAGCTGGTGAAAGGGGCAGGAAAAAAATTTTCCAAAATTAAGTCAACTGGCAAGTAAATACTTAGCTATACCAGCTACTTCAGTGCCGAGTGAGCATTTGTTTTCTGACGCTAGAAATCAAGTAACTCAAAAACGTACTTGTCTTAATCCAGAATCTGTTTCTCAAATATTATTTTTAAAAAGGAATACAGATTTAATCAGTATTTAATGATTTTATGTATATTAGGTTAGCAATAGAAATGGTATTATAAATATTTATAGATTTTATACTTTTACTTTTAAATAAGTATAGACTTTTATTTCTTTCAATAAAAAAAAAATAGTGTTCGTTGAGATCTATAAATCAATCAGGTTACCTAAATTTTGCATCGGCTATTAACAGGTTAACCGGATTAACCAGGTCACCCAATAATTTTTAATAATCTGATTTTTTATCCGGATTATAGATTTATAAACGGGTGGATAACCCAGAATAAAAAATTTTAATGGGCTTAATCTCTAGTTACAAATAAGCAGTGTAACAGCTGGTACAAATAGATTTTTCCAAAAATTTTTACTAAATTTAGTTAGATAAATTAGTATATTGTATTAATATTTTATATAAACATGTTTTTTATACTATAGCTAAAACCAATATAGATAAAACCCACCTTAGGTTAAAAATTACCATAAATATTTTTATTTATAGTGAAAATTACTATAGATATGTTTTAGTAAAAGTCAACATATATATAATAGATACTAAAAATTAAGTTTAACATATAAATAAGTATACTACTGTTAATTCTTCTAAAATTAATTCTTTATCAAGACCATTTTTATTATATAAATCGAATAGTTTATAAGGTTTTAAAATCTGATAATCTCTCAATACTAATCAAAAATCTATTCACCATGCATATTAGTTTTGAACAATTTATTAGTATACAAATAAAATTGTTTATTTAAAATATATAGTTAAAAATACAAGATAGATTTTAAAATAAAACTTATATAATTTTAAATTTTAAAATTGTACACTATATTTAAAAGTTACAATTTAATTATTACTATTACAAATTATAAAATAGATAAAATAGATTATTAGTTAAGATACAATTTTAATTATTACTGTTTACAAATTATAAATAAATTACTTTATACATGCCAAAGCTTTTAAACTTCAGTAATATCAAGCTTAATTTGAGCAGAATCGGATTAAGCCAAATCTAAATAAACAGAATAATATTATTTTAAAATAAATCAATAAAACATAATTTTAATAAATTAGTTAAAAATAAATAAATACCTTCAATCGCCTTTGAGATTAATTTCGTGCTAATAATTTTGCTAGTGTACATTTCATCAGGATGCTTTGGTATTGGCAATGATTTAATAACTTTATCAGCATCTAAGAATTGCTTTTTAATTTCATTATCAACTGAACTAGCTATCTCTTCAAGCCAACATTTTATTGTATCATAAACATCAAAAGCACTAGGCCGTTTTTGTGGATCAGAATTCATGCATTCTTCAGCCAATTCAATATAGCATTTAGGAGTTCCAGGTGCAAACTCTGGCCGCAGCCCTTTGCAAATTTTGACTGCAAG